CCCACCTGGAATAGCATCACTCTGATATAAAGGACAGATTCTGGTTCACTAAAGAGAAAGATGGTGAACCTGTGGATCTGACAACAGACTCTGAGTATTCAGGCCGTGTGAAGCACAAATGTTATAGTTATACTAAGACTTGTTATCTGGCCATCACAGACCTGAGAGAGAGCGACTCAGCTGAGTACAAATTCACATTCATGACAAACGAACCAGGAGAGAAATATACTGGTTCACCTGGAGTCACTTTGTCTGTCACAGGTAACATTTTAATTCACATATTAATCATCTACAAATGTTCAACATCTAGAAAACTAGAGTATAAATGTCTTCTGTGAATGTTGACACTTTAATAAATAATATTCACTGATTCAGGTCTCCAGGTGCAGGTGAGAAGATTAAATTCTACCTGGTTGGAGCTGATGTGTCACAGCAGCTGTGTTCTGCCTGATCATCCAGAATACGACTGGTACAAGAATGAAAAATACATCAAGACAGGATCTTCTCTTCTAGTCTCCTCTGGTTCTGCAGACAGATATTCCTGTTATTTAACAGGATATTGGAATAACGGTTCTCCTGCAGTGTGTAAGTTCACTCCACTGTGTCGGCCTGTGGAGCTTCACCAACATCTCACATGGAGGCACCAGACCGCTGCATGTAAACTAGAGGCATCAAAAAGATGAAGCACAACGTTCCTCAGGAGGTGGAGCCGTGGTCCACTGACCAGAGGGTTGCTGGTTCAATCCCCGGCCCCTGCAGTCTACGTGTAGAAGAGTCACTCACACACTGACACAACAATATGATTCTAATCACAGCTGTAAACACACTGAAGTCTAAATGTTAAAGGAGACACAGATCTTTATTTATGTCATTCTCTTATTAATAGAAACACAAATATAAACTATCAGCAGACAGAATAATGTGATTTTCATAAAGACTCAAGTGAATTATTCCAGAACATAAGTAGAAGTGACGTGTCAGCTGGTGGAGGAAACAATCAATAACCCCTACAACAACTAGAAGTGAGAGGACAGACTCAGCTAAGGACACAAGCAGCATCTAAAGAGAAGAATGTGTGGAGATATGAACATTACAAAGGATTAAAGGCTGCTTATTGTCACTTTACACCAGCAGGAGTCTCACCTGTGACAGCTGCTGTGATGAATACTAGAGATAGTCTGAGAGAAAGACACACAAGTATTCATTCAAATGATCAACTATCTACGCTAACATCTTCTGACCTCTTTGTATGTTTATTCACGTCTCCTCCAGATGGTCCACAGCGTCCCTCTGTGTCAGTGAGTCCCTCTGCTGAGATGCTGGAGGGCGATTCAGTGACTCTGACCTGTAGCGCTGATGCTAACCAAGCAGCTAACTACACCTGGTACAAGCAGGATGGAACTTCAGACCCTCATCTTCTCAGTAAAGAACCTCATCTGGTCTTCAGCTCCATCCAGTCCTCTGACTCTGGAAGGTATTTCTGTACAGCTGAGAACCAGCTGGGGAGGAAGACGTCTGACTTCATCTCTATCGATGTGAAATGTGAGTGAAACAACCTTTTTAAAAGCAACATAATCACTACTGAGGTAGTGTTTTGTTATCAACTTCTATTTATTGAATTCTAACTTGTAACAATATGTTGACACGTCTCCTCCAGATGGTCCACAGCGTCCCTCTGTGTCAGTGAGTCCCTCTGCTGAGATGCTGGAGGGCGATTCAGTGACTCTGACCTGTAGCACTGATGCTAACCCAGCAGCTAACTACACCTGGTACAAGGAGCATGAAGACTCACCACGAGCATCAGGACAGATCTTCACCATCACTAACTTCACAGCTGAACACAGTGGGAATTATTACTGTGAAGCCCAGAACGAGATGGGACGTAGTAACTCCACCTTACGTCTGATTACTTCTTCAGGTAAATCACACTCATTCTTCTGTTCCTTCACACATTACATCAACAATCCAGCTAAAGAAGTGACTCACAGGGTGACCAGACGTCCTCTTTCTGGGACCTAAATAATGCGTCCGGGATTTTGCTTCGTCGGATATTTGTGTTTCTGAGTCTTTCACAAACTAGTTATTCCGCCCTCACAAGTGGTGTAAATGGCGTCTCCCTTACGCTCCACCTTCCTGCGCGAGCTCTGACTGTAGAGAGAACAGTCATTGGTCGACCGATCGCCATGTTGCCAGATACACGATAATTATCCTCCACATACGACCGTTTTGAGCCTTTGGTACGATACTTGACCATTTCCAATGTGGCAACACTGAGCACCTTGCCGCCTCCACTAGTTGCTTTGTTTACAGCACATGACATCTGCATCTCTTCTTTTAATATGTGGCCGTATAAAAGAATTGATTATTTAGAATTTTGTTATCATCATTGCTTTAATAAATGGACCAGACACATTAAAGAAGCGCTGGACTAAATGCCAGAAGAGAAATTTGTTTTACATTTGCACTTTGCAGTTTTGTTAAAGTTCAATAAATAGATGTTCATATAGTCATGTGTGACCTTTGTATGCAGTCACAATGTCATGGTGCGGCATGCTATACGTTTTCTGAGGTCCCTGTTGGGAAAAGTCCTTTTCTTTGTCCTGTTAATAAAAAGATGAATGTTACATGTGAGCAGCCTAAATAAACAACGGCGTGATGTTTGGAGCATTCAGGACACCTCGAGGTTTACAAGTTGCTCTCCTGCTGCTTGTTGTGACCGTTTACATCACCACACAATCACGTTCACACGCACAAACACAAACGAATACTTGCTTTCAACATGTAGAGCTCGAGAGAGTGAGTTCTTAATTGCACCACATGTCATTAACATACAAGTCTCACATTGGACATGAGCTTTTCTTCAGCGCTGGATTCTCTTCCTGAGCTGCTTGGTTGTCGCTTTGTGACTCTTCTGTCGCTAACTTGGGGACAAAGAGGACGTCTATGCAGCCATAGATATTATATATAAAGGCTAGATGTCTTTGGTTTGTTATAAACATCAGAGATGTAGTTATGACACTGCACACGTATGAATAATGTTCTGTTTAATATCATTTCCGTATGAAAACCCATGGTTACAATTATTCAT